TCTCAATTAATTTCAGCAAAATTTGGCATTTTCTAACAACCTCGGAAGTAACATCAATTATTTAGAAGAGCTTTTATTTCTAGTCTTTTATTTATCCTATACTGAAATAAAATAGTATTAATAATAAATCCTGAAGATTGGTTTTGTTTGATAACTTACTGTTATGTAATTGACTTTGCTAAATCCTTTTTGTGCTTCAATCATTAACCGAAAAATGTTTCGAGTTTATCAGAATTCGGCAAAGCGCATTATTCCTAATGCTACCAATGTTTCAAAGTGCTACAAAGTGTTCATTGCTAATGACTATTAATTCACTTTATGTCCTACTCAAATAATGTATGTACTTTTTTTGCTTCAAGCAGATATAATAAATCTGGTTATCAACACATCCACGGGTCTTAACAGGATATTGGAAATCCTGTTTGAGAAAATCGTTTCACACATACAGTGGCATTTGAATTCTCGAGCATAAATTCAATATTTCGAAAACCCTATTCGGCTAATGGTGTTTCTGGGTTATCTAATACGGGACGTGTGAGCGGCTAATTGTTAAACAGATGCAACTCGCTTAGCTCCTGCCTTAATTAAATTTAACACCAAGGGAATGATACGATTATCTGAGCTACTTGTAATATTTATATTGAGTAACATTCTTGCACTGAACTGTACGTGCAAGATATTCAGCATATAAGTTAGATTGTCTACATTATCGACACGTTTCAAAATGATGTATTTCTATTTAAGTATATATTGGTGTGTACAAGTAGTGGAAAGCGGTGGGCTTTTGAACGCCTTCCAAATTAGAAACTTTCGAATAAATTCAAAATGTATCAAAGAAAATATAAACTGGAAAGACAAATATTCAGTTAGATTTTAAAGAACGTAAAATATTTTTTTCACAGTGTAAACATTTTTTTCTTTGTAAACGTAGTATCTCAAGATTGAACCAACTAATGTGGATCAAATTTGGAGCGAGAATACCTGACGTTATGTGGAATAAGGGTAAAATAAAATAAATAAGTAAAATCCAAAAATTATTGCTACTTATGACAAACTCATGAGGAGGGCATTTTACATTTTTGCTATAAAGTCAATCACAGCTTTACAGTAAGGAAATTTATTTTGCGCAAACAATGTTCGTTAAGGATTTTAATCTGCTGAACTCAAATCGAAGCAAAAATGCGACTTCAGATTATGATATTTCCGCAAAACTAAATTAAACTCTGAAAACCGTGATTGTTGGTGGTAAATTAAAAATTATTTTATATTGTTGTTAACCTCTTCAGTATTCCTACCTAAAAATCAAATTATTTTCCGATGCAACTGCGGAACATCGCAGAAAATTACGGATTTTTGCAGTTTCCTATCCAGAAAAAAATTCACTCTGAAATTTGAATTGCGCTAAATAAAAATGTAGAACGTTTTATCGTAGTTTCGTAAAAACTATTAAATGCTATAATATCTTGCTATAAAATGTCAAAAGAATACGGAAAACCCCTGATTTCACAGTCAGATTTCAGTTTGTAAATTGAATCGGCCTATAAAATTCTTGAGTACTGCCTTTAGCAGATGAAGAACTAATTATAAAACTAGAGTGAATTTTTTTCTCTGCATACAAATCTGAGAAAGTTCGTAAATTTCTGAAGTTTTCCGCAATTGTATCGGAACGGAGTTTCATATTTATTAGTTTTATTTATAACATCTTGTCTGGGAATAAAAATTATGTGTGAATACTGAAGAATTTAACAACAAAATAAAATAATTGTAATTTTTTACGAAAAAATAAATTTTTTCGATTTTTTTAATCGATTTTTTCGGTAAACTCATAATGTGAAGACACTTTTTTGCTTATATTTAAGTTCAGCAGATTAATATACATAACAAGCATTGTTTGGCTCACAACAAAAATTTTCCTTTGCTATAGGCTATGATCCACTTTATAGGAAACAGTGTCCAATACTCTATTTCCTCTAAAATTTGCCCGCTGTAGAAATTATTTTTAGGTCTTCCTCATATTTTTGCCTTATTCCACATTACGTCAAATATACGCGCGCCAAATTTCATCCAAAGCAGTTGGCACAATCTGGAGATATTAGGTTCACGAACAAGAAAACAATTTTCTCACATTGTGCGGCGTCTTCAAAATTCTAACTGACTATATTATTGTTTTGGTACCATCAGCTGGTTCTACCATATACAGTCCGAATGGAAACGTTTTAAACTTGAAGTAATAACTAATAATGGAAGCATTTTCCCAGATTATATATTAAGACAATATTTTACGTTGATAACTTAATTCGGCTTGTCTTTGAGAAACATTCTAACAAAATAGAAAAATAAGTGACGCCTAATGAAAGTCATTAGGATCTTTAATATCGTCAAGAGCATTAGACTATCGGCTTTACAAAGTTGGCGAAAACGGCACATAATGGAGATTAAAGTGCACTTAAGCTAACGCCATCATCTGAAACGCCGAATCGGGTATGACGACCTGCAAATCCGAGTTTTATCAATGAAAGTCTTTAGGTTCTGAAAATGGTCGGTAAAAGTAATTATATATTCTTCGCTTTATCCTTTTTTCGACTATTTTATTACACTTTTCTTAAAGCTTTGCTTGATAACAAAAATAATAAAACAGATAAAATAACATATCGCAGCTTCTCTACAGAAAATATAAGCGTATATTAACGGTGAATTAATGAATTAGTAAGTGAAATAAAATAGTTTATAATAAATTACTGTTACTTAATGGTATCAGTTGCTTCTACTTGCAGTCAGAAATATATTGTTTTGCTTCGGAAAATTGAAGTTTCAACGTTTTTTCATAAATTTTTGTGGACTAAGAGAGAAACAGCATATATATATATTTATAGATATTTAAATAGGCAAGCGAAAATTGTAGAGATTCAAATGATGTATTGAATCTTGGCAAAATAGTTTTGGCAAATACATACGCAAATTCCTATTTAGTAATTAATAGACTTGCCCGCAACGAACTGTAGCTACTTAATGTGAAACGGATTGACAACCGTTGTATCTTGGATGTACATAAAAAAATATCACTTCACTTGATTAGGTCCCGGTCCAGATTAGACTTACACGAAAAGGATTAACTTAACAAGTTATTAATTACATTCAGACAAAATAGACATCGCATTCAGCCCGTGGAAAACTGAAATAACAATATAAAATGTCCGATACCAATGTGTAGTGCGAACTATCCCCAACCGCTCAGACAGTCTGTGTAATTTAATTAGTAACTAATAACGGCGCTAAAATATTATCCATATACAACTTTGCAAAAAAGATGTTTTAATACAGTATTTATAAAAATTAAAGCATGTACATCAACAAATTTCCTTAGATTAATGACAGAAACTTTTCTATTTAATATGCGCAAGCATACACTGCGATAACTTTTGTAATATCGGTTTGGCCGGTACGCGTTCAACATTTGCATGGTTTCGTTGGAGTTTCGGATGTGTTTTAGGGCTCACCCTACAGTTTTGGATAAAATTGGACTAATATTGCATATGTTCCGAATTTCACATATACAGTAAGGGTCTACTTTAAACTGCAATTAATTAACACTCACTTAATTATAATTAGCATGATAGCCGTCCAGATAAAACCATACATTCTGTCCTAAATCGGTATTTCGCACGTCATGTGCTGCGTTTAAGCAGAAAATTTGTAAAAAATAAAACGGTCACAAAATATTGCTGTGAACTGGAATTACACATGAAAGTCCTCACATGAAAGTTATGGAAATTAGCTGAACTGTAGAGGGTAAAGCGAACTTGTCATTGTTCAACATGTTCTTCACAAAACTTCTATTGAAGAAGTCAGCGATAATACGTAATTACTCTTTTTTTCCTTTGTCTTATTCCTTAAGTAAGCTGGATTCCGATTTAGGGAGGATATGAGAAAGTGTTATAGCTAGGAAATTTTAATTCCTGAGCTCACAAATCCTCTAATTTTTCGATTATTTTAAACGTTACGTCTTCCATTTTAAGTCATTTTTACTAAACGACCAAAAGCAATATTTTTCAATAATTTTTAGTTAAAAATCGCGTGTTTTATAAACAATAGATATTTGAAAATAACTTGCTAAATCAAATTTAGTTTTCAAGCTGCATGTTCGAACATAGGAATGGTTTCATTTCAATACATGCTTGCGTTTTTCGTTTTCTTATTTTGAATTTTTTTCATCTATGACGAGCATATAGAGGCAGTCCCAGTTTTTTCCATGTGAGTCTAAATACCACTGCTTTAGGATGGTATTAGCTAACTTGAATACATTTTTAGAAAACTGATATTTTCACTGCACCGTTTTTGGTTCTACTTAATAATATTTTTAGATGACACGGAGTATTTTGTTTATTTCTATACTATAATAACAAGACAATTATATCATGGTTTAATAAAAGTTTAATTGTCTTATTCGAGAATAGAATCTATTAGCCATCGGTAACGTATTGAAAAAACTTAGCCAAATCAACAAAAACCTTGTAACAATTTTAATGGTATAAACACCCATTAAACGAATTCCTAATTAAATTGATTGAATATAAAACCCTTTTTGTTCCCTGTTTTCTCTACTAAAACGTAATACAATAAAAAAAATTGTTGTCATTGTGCGCAGACATTCGGGCCGTTTCAAAGTGCATCCTTCGCTTTACTTGAGTTCAGCCAAGTGCTTATTTCTTTTCCATCTAGACTGCTGAGCGTTTATCACTGGCTCACCCTGTAAATGCCTCCAAAATTACCTTTAGGAATAAATACGACCAAATAATTGTTAAATATAAATTGTTACCAAAATTTATTGTGTGCTTACCAAAGTAAGCACATAATAAATAAAACAGTTGTAGGATTAGCTATCTGTGGAGCCTCATTTGCATTTAAAACTTGTTAACTTTTTTTTATAGTGTAAACTGAGCTGTGCTGAAGAGATTATTTGTAATTTCCAGCCTCTTGAATACTTAAAACTATGTTTTCAGGTTATGGAAACATTTGGCCTCGTACTCCCGACGGAAAAATAGCTAGCATAGTTTATGCTATAATTGGCATGCCGTTGTTCCTACTATATCTATCAAATATTGGGGATGTAATGGCCAGATCCTTCAAGTGGATTTATGCTAATTTGTGTTTATGCAGATGGTGTCCTGGTGTAAGTTTACAAATTATGTAAATATTTAAATACTTGAATCAATTTGACTGAAAAATAATAAAAAACTCAAGCAATTATGATGTGAAACATTTAGTTAATTTTCTTAATAATTAAAATTGCTGGAACACACTATCGCACGCTAATTTTATACAAAGCTGAACTCTGTCCATTGTATTTAATTCGATCATGTTTTAATTAAATTAACTAAAATTAATTAGCAGCTTGAAGTAATGGATTTAATGAACCTCTGCATGTGATAAACAATTCATTGAAAGCAAACATTAGCATTGTATTTTAATATTACAAGTTACTTGTGCCTTTGTTTTCATTGAGAATTTGCTTGCTCTCCAGTATATTGGAGTTTCCGTAATTTACCAAACATTAACTAAAAACTGTTCCAAAGAATGTTTGATATTTATACAGTTTTCACAACAGGTGGCCAAAAGAAGAGCCGAACGTCGTATGAGGAGAGATCAGCAGATGCACGCAGAATCCGCAAGTGAAGCTGGATCGAGAAATAGCAGTAGCATTGGTTCCGCAGATGTACGTGAACTATTTGATTGATAACGTTTCTAACAGATATATTAATAATCCACTTTATCAAAGATTTGGTAAATTATTTATGAGCCTTCATCATTTTTCATAACTTAAAACAGAAACGTCTATGCCGATATGAAATTTATGGGATACTGACAGTAAACGCCCTAAAAAAGTAAATATAAAGCCCACCAGAATATTTATTTAGGTTCCCCTTTAGGTTTCCAATTTATCGCTATCCGTGAATTACACGCCTCACTTTTTTTATTTAATAAATATCACTTTGCTGCCTGACGATTCGGATGAAAAATGATCGAATGCTCGAATAGCGACATACCCTCAAGATCTCACGTCATGCTTTGTATCTTTTTGACAAAACCGATTTTTATTGGCTTCATTTTGACTTGTTTAAACATGATTTTTTGGTTTCCAATCATATGAACCTCGTCGAAGAATTAAGGTAAAATTGCTGATAAAGCATAATGGCAAAACAACACGATATGTTCATTGTTGGAGATTTTTAATAAATTAATTTCAGGTAAACTGTATTTTGCACTCATCAATTACTATTGCTTCAAATATTTTAAATCTCAAACCGCCGCCATTTCCTATTGCTTTAAATAAAATCCAATTTCACGGAATTTTACATAAAATTTAATATAGCTCAAACGAGGGTATGGAAAACAGAAAATTCCTAAAGTTCAAACGATATTTTAATTATATTTATTGGAAACAGTGAGTTGAGAATCATATTGTCAGTGTTACAACGTGAAATGTTGCAAAGCTAAAATTATGGAACGATGTTTTAGACATGTATGTCAAACACTACTTCGGCTAGTGTTTGATCTTTTTCCTTAAGTTAGTTTGCTAGATCTTTTGGTCTTTCTTATACGCAATCTTTCCTAAGTCTGAACTTGATGAATTACTGCATTTTACAGTGGTAGGCCCTGTAGCCTCTTGGGAGAAGGTGGTAGGAAGTAGGTTATATTTCAGGCTAAAGACTTAAGAATTGGGTTCTTTGGTATTAAAGCCGCCATCGAGTTGATTTTGGCTGCAATTTCCAGTTCTGAGAGCAGCAGTAGTTGAAGCAGCTGCGGGTATATACAGGGTTGTTCTCAACTAATGTCAAAAAATTCACTGACATATTGTTTAGCCCAAAATATTGCGTTTCAGGCAAATTTTTCTTATGCGAAAGTTAATAGATTCCGAGGTACAGGGTGTCAAAGTGTAAATAAAAATTTCGTTTTTTTCTGAATAGATTTTTATCCAGTTTTACTAGTACCACAAAAATTTGTGTTTGGGGGTTTCTTAGATCGGCAAATTCAAATTCTAGAGGGCGAAAGCTGCAATAGTCTGAAGCCACTTAAGACATCACACCTTTTTTGGCTCTTCAACAATCGTCATACGGTTGGTAAAATCACATTATACGGTTGGTAAAATCAGATTGTCACAAAAACAAAACATGTGTACTTGTTCGAAGTCGATATCTCTAACCGTTTTCGAGATACTTCACATTGAATCATCTAGTAATTTTTTGAGCTTATTGGATATCTATCTCAAATTTGATATGCAAATAAAATAATTTTTTGGGCAAATTTTCTATTAAAGAAAACTTAACAAACATTAGACAGTATTTATTTAGGCACGTTCAGAACTATTTTCAACTTCTTTTTGGACACAGTAAAACATTTGAAAATTATTATTTCATAATAAATGTTCAAAATGATCTCCTCTGACTTCAATACATGTACAAATTTTTCGAAAACGGTGAGAAATATTGAAACGKTGARAAATAAGTACAGATGTTTTGTTYAAAAAATGTCGTAGAATGTGATTGTACCAAGCGTATGACGCTTTTTGAAAAGGCTAAAAAGTCCTGATGTCTTAAATGGCTCCAGACAATTGCAGCTTGCGCTCTCTATAAACTACAAGCCAACCAATAGGGAATTTGGATTTGCCGATCTAAGAAACCCTCAAACACAAATGTTTGTGGTACTAGTAAAACTGGTTAAAAATCTATTCAGAAGAAAGAAATTTTTATTTACACTTTGTCACCCTGTACCTCAGAACCTATTAACTTTCGCATAAGACAAATTTGCCTGAAACGCATTAAGAGCGGCTTCATCGTTGGAAAATGGAGTTGAATAAACTCTTAAATAATGAAGTTAATGGTATCAAGTTACTGAGTGAACTAGATTACATGCAATATGTTCACTAACTTTTCATTGCCAACGTCTTAGAACTAACTTGCTGACCAGAGCACCAATAAATTTGATTTGTAATTTATTCAATATTTATAGTGCAAATTGTGACATTTTTAGTTATTCTTTGATTCTTATAAAAAAACTATATCAATACTTTTTTTGTATTTCCTGTAATTGGGTGTCCTACATGTTGGAAATATATGACTAAAATGTTAACACCCAATGTAATAACCCATTCAAACAATTATAATCACATTCAAAAAAATTCTGAGTTTACCACCATTTCAGAACTAAATGAGCAAGTGCAGAACTACTATTTAACTATAATTATTGACTTGTTTATTAAGTTTACACAATTATGAGAAACTCACCGTTAAATTGACAACGCAAATAAGCAAATCTGTAATACTCTCCACACTTACCCGTGTATGACGTACTTTCGCCAACGCAAAATATAAAAAATCTCGTATGTAACCGAATATAAAACAAAGGATTTTATTCTAAAGCCAACTCTTTTGACGCGGATGAACTATTTTCAACCAACCCTTCTTTGGAATAATAATAAGCTTTCATCCACACTAACATTTTCGTCTGGAGCTAAAGCTGAGCTGAATTTGTTAAGCAATTATTCAATAAATTTACACAGTTTTTGAACTTTTAGACATGGAAGATTTTCTGGTGATTTTGTTAAATAAAAGAAAGTGTATCCTTTTATCACTAAAGAAATTGGTGTTTGAAATTCTGAATCCCCTTGAATTGGTACAAAGCATAAATCTTAACCATTTAGTGGGTCAGTTAAGAAGGAACGAGCATTGCTGAAGAAACAGTTTGCGTATTTTTAAGGCTGTTCATTATCGAGATATTTAATTGTCCTCATGTTCAAAAGGCGGTTAAACTATTTATTAATTTATCCGTAAATTTGGACAGTATATAGATTCGAAAGATTCTGGCATTGATTACAGTAGCTCAATTCTTCTCTTAACGGCTAGTTCTAAATCAAATATGAAGTTAATAATGATTTGTCAAAACTGAATCTTTTAATTGTAATTTTCTGCTGGTCGTGTTACAGGCATTTGAAAAATGTTTATCTTATTTATACATTCATATTACACTTTCATACTACAAACCCATCAGATTTGGAACTGTGACCATCATAAATCCCGAACTAAACTAAATTTTGTTAATTTTATGACTAACCTCTCAAATGTACAACGTTTCATTATTTATGCTATTGCCCTTGCAAATCCATTTTATTTTCGACACACTGCGTACGCTCAAAAAACACTTGAACATACAATTTAAGTTAGATTTCACCGATACGAATTCTATTTCAAGCCAACTAATTCGGCTTCCTAATAATAAAATACCTTGATCGATTGATTCTCGATTAATCTTCACCCTCAGCTTCTTGACTTGCAATTCATATTTATGAACAACGCCTTATTGCAAACTGTAATCATCAGAAAGTAAATAAAAAATCTTCCCGTAACGTTTAAAATAAAATAAAATTTTGTAATCCAATTTGTAATAGCTGTAGATAGTAACTCAAAGGAGTGGCTGATCATAAGGAATATTTGTTTTTTGTAAAATGCAAAAACTTACACTTTCCAATAAGCTCCAGTAAATGTTTCTTATATTTCCAACGTAGCCTCAAACACCTTTGTTTTCTTAACATATGTATATATTTTCTTTATTTATATATTAAGCTGAATGTTTAAGGTATTTAAAATGATCAAATTTTAGACCCAAAAATAATTAGAAAATGTATTTATTTGAAAGGGTCTAGCTCTAGGAGATTGACGATTTGAGCGAAAAAGCAGAAATTCCATCGTCAATAGTGATTAATTTCGAAAGAATTGTTTCAGGTTAACATAGCAATGAACGTGTTGAGTCCAGCTGGATCAACAGCTAGTGATGGAATGACCAATTACACCGATGAATCTTATGATGTTCAAAACGTTACAGTTCCTATTACAGTGTGTTTGATGATCATGGTAGGGTAAGTACACCCTTAATAAATAGCACAGGCTAGTTAAATTCCATAAATAACAAAATTTTGTTCAATAAACGAAACGCACGAAGAATACTCACCCTACTGGGTTAAATGGAATGATAGATCAAATTGTAGAACCCGGAAAATTCAAACAGGGTTTAGAATAATTAATTATAATGTTTTAAATAGTTTGGCTGTTGAATAATGGGCTGTTTTGCATTAAAACGAATCCGTTAAGTTACAATTCATCGCTCAATTTACTATTGCTTTTTTAGCGTAACCGTTCGGATGTGTTCGCTTCCAAAGCTAACAAATGGGTGTCGGTAATGTTACAGAATCAGTTCAGTTAGCCCTCAATTTATTTTATGAAGATTGGAGCATTTTCAAACTAATTTTTGTGMTTATCATCTTGTTTGMGTTTGTCCATGCTACAATATTATTATTAACGCACGGATTTGAAGAATTTTATAAACTGGGATTTAATTTCTCCGCGATTTTTTGTAATGTGTGACAACAAAGTAATTGTGTTTTATTTATTAATTTTCTTAATAATATGTTAAAATCCGGTCTTTGTTATTATTGCTTTGCTAAGTCTCTTAGCAATTCATGGATCAGTGTTGCTTGATTATTTCCTAATMGCACAAAAATAATTTTGCTGTACATYTATGTTTGAATTCATAAATATGAAATTAAATTGAAAAGGTAGMAAWRCCAAATAAAAAAATTTGGTTTCGAAAATTGAACCAATCCCTACTGAGAATAATACAAGRCTTGTTTAATTTAAAKGGCAATTCACAGAAGAAACGACCAATACATTCAGCAAATTACCTTCCAAGACAACAGAAAGCGGCGTAATTCACACGAAAACGGCATTTGATTTACATGTTTGCTGTTATGTTTGTATTAAAACAAGAAATGGAAATACCGCAATACAGAATCCAGATACTTTCTCGTCGTGCCTCGTAGCATAAACATTAAAGCAATAATATAATAAAATATAAGTCAACAATTTCTAAAAGCGAACTGCTTGAAAAAATGTAAAACCAAACTTACCGAAAGCTGCATCGTGTCACCTGGAAAAAAATATGTTTAGCGTACAGGAAATAATTTTAAGCTCTATTGAAATTGGAATGTAAAAAAGCCGTAAATGATCTTTCAAAAAACCTCCGCCAGCTCTAGCTCAGTGTTTTGAAAATTGACTAAATTTTTCCGGACACCCTGTATATTAAAGATCTTTCTTACCAGGTTTTTGCATGCTGTGGCTCCATCCTGAACCATTTCCGTATCAGGTGGGATTCACGTGCACCAAAAGTTGACTTTAGATAAACCCATCAACAGACCACACTCCTACTTTTCAGTACCAAAATGTCAATATTTGTATATCCGATATTCGTTTTCCCGATTAAATATGAACACAGTTTATCCCTTTATCGCTTTAGTCGCCTGAATGATTAACATTTTTTTATTGAGAGAGTCTGTGTAGCCGCAAATAAAAACCCGACAAATATAAACACGGAAAGATAAACAACTCAGATCAGGGGCGCAATGAAAACCGCATTCTTTCGGAAGGTGGTAAATTTTTGCCTGAATCTTTCAGGGTTTTTTCAACTCATGCGTACATGGTCGATTTTAGGAGAGATTGTTGTACTTTAAGACGTTTTTCAATTTGTTTTTCAAACCATTATTTTAATGCATGATTTTAACTTAAGCCATTCTGTTATCTTCTCTATTTAGAACGATATTCTCAAAAAATATACAGGGTGCCATCCGATCCACCGTACCATTCGATTATGTTTCAAAAAACATAACTTTTTAAGAACTTTCACCATCAAACAGGAGATTCAAACATTTTTCCTTATTAACAGCTTGGCCCGATTGTCTTCTTTTGAACCAGAACCGTCCATTAAAAGATTTCCAACCGCCAGTCATTTTAGAAACTTCAAATTCTGTTTCCGGTCAGAACGAGTAGTGCCGAAGGCATTTAAAATACATTTAGCCCTCCCGCTATATGGTCCCGCAGGGTATATGAAAAATATAATATAACTTTCTTATTTTAAATGTTAACTCCAAATTTTTAAAGCATGGTTGGATGGGCCTTTCAATTGCGAGTTTGAACCACTGTAGCTTTGTTGACTTATCTCTTATAGTTCTGGTATGTCAATTGTTTAAGAACTCCAAGTATATATGTATAATGACGTAAATCACCCTGTATATGGCTTACAATTCGAATAATTATTACTTACTGTATTGGACGATAGATTTCTTTGATATTCAGTGGGCTTTCTTTATTAGAATCAAGCCCTAAGTACTTGGAAACATATGGTTTTTCTGAATTATACGTTTTTCGAGTCGAATTAGCTTCCGTAAGTGTTTGCAATAGAGCCTTAATTTACTGACAGAACTACAAAAAATCAACGTTTTCTTAATGATAAATTTCATTAATTTCTGATTGAACAGCAAAAGCTTTTGCTACGTCAACTTTCTTTTTATCGGGTTATAGAACTGTGCACTTCACCTTGATGGCAGATTTGAATATAAAAATGTTTTATGAACACAAAAAATGATTTACAACGAGGGACTTTCATTAACTTGGCAAATCCTTTAAATAAGGAAGAATTGTAATGAAAAGTTATACAAAATATAAATATAATAAACATGAAACAACATTACAACATACAACGATTGCAAATAACGTAATACATTTTTTTTTATCAATTATGTATCAGTATTAAATACGTAAATTGGAAGTCTAAATTTCTCTGAATAATGGACTTTTTCTCAATTTGAATTCCTTGTTCCAATAATGGAATTTCCAATTGAAAGAACAAATTGATTTTTTCGTTTGTCTTTAGAATACGGCACTATTAAGACGATAGCTGAATTTGGGACAGTTTTTGATGGGATTACTTTTCCATTTCGTAACATTCAGTAAAATAATATGTTTCTTTTGATTGGTTCAATGGACGCCAATTCGGTGTAATAAATATTACCGCAGTTTTCAAGATCAGCCAACTTCGACTACGACTATTTTCCAAATATATTGAAGTAAGAAAAGTTGCGTGTATTAACAAATTTTCAAAAAATCAGCAGCAGTAGCACACCCGACAACAGTTCAAAGTTTTCGAAATTATTGTAGTAATATACACTTCTATTATGCCACATAAAATAAAATGAGGAAAATGAAGACTGATACCTCAGCTCTCAACACTTTAAGTGTTCAGGTTTTCAACGACGTATAAAAAACACAAAATCCAATCGAACCCTGGAGACAAAACAAACGACTAAAATCACCAAACATTTCAAATGACTTTAGGCAAACCGATCAACAAAACATAAAAAGTGGTGACAACAATCAACTGTTAGCTTGGTTCATTATTACTGCGTATTATTTATCAAAACGTAACTACTTCCTAATTCAATTGATGAAATCAACGAAACCTTTAAACCTGCTGGTTGTAAAATCATTTGCGACACAGAACTTTGGCGACGGAACATCAGCAAAAACATTTCTCCATAGGTAGTTTCAGCTTCAACTCAATCTTCAGCCGCAACCAGGAAATACATGGAAGAACCGATAGAAATTCGTTTATATGCACAGAAAAAAAATCGTTGGCAAAGGCAAAGTGTCTGCGGTGAAAGAAAGAATATTTTTGAGTGAATCATTATTATGGGATTAGAAATGTAAATGTAAATTATTGGATCCTTATTTAACACAAACAGATAAAACATATTTCACTACTTATGCACAAAAGTTTATAACGCCATACTCAACCAATAGTCAGAATCAAGAAACATACGACAAATATTTCAGATAGAAAGTGACGAACTGCATAATCGATGATATCGAGACCTTATATAGCCTAACGCATTGAAGTTTCAGGACTTTTTAGGATTTTTGTTGAGCCTCTATTTCATTTACGTCCCATTCATATTTGCCTTTAATATTTATTTTGTCACTCAAGATCATTTCCAAGATTAGCAAAATATGCAAATAGAAATACTTGTCGCCTTGGCGGGTAATAAACATACAGTCAAGATATTTATAAATCTCATAACACGGCATATATCAGTAATTATATAAAATATTATCTGAAGTAGTTTGTACAGGAAATTTATAGGTTATTTCCTGAAAGTAATGTGATAATTGCAACAAAAATTAATCGAGTTCAGATGGCGTTTACTATGAACAACTAAACACTTTCGTCTAAAACATACATTGTATAAGACAAAATAATTCTAAATTAAAGTTCTAGTATTTTTCACAATTTCAGAGCTGAACTAGAAAAAAAACACATTATTCATCTAGTTCCTCAAAATGTTTAATTTTTCCTTGAAATTTAACCAGACTTTCATAAGCTATTTGCTCCTTCAGGCACACTGTTCTCAATTGGAAAAAAAATTAACATATGGCAATCCTATTGTTCCACACATAATTTGCATCTGCGAATAATTGCCTGTCTTACATTCGCGGGATGGAATGGTGTAATTTTCCGGCCAGCAGTTTCAATTTGCTGGTTTAATCTGTCTTTGGATTCACCTGAGTAACGTAAACTATATATTTCATGTAACTCTACATAAAATGATATCCTAAATGGTATTAATTTCTAGGAAGTTCCTCCTTACCTATGGATGTATTGCTAAATTTGATTATTTTGCGCTCCTATCCTGATTTTTATATGTCACTTTTATGTTAGAATCTGAGTACTAATATAAAAATTGCCCCACTTATTACCAAAATCGTTCAATAATGCACGAAATTTCACTTAAATCTTGGCATGTCTTGGGCAGATACCATCAATTACATTTAGAACAACGACATGTTTAATCTTTCAATTTATAAAGTTTTAAAAGCGGTCCTAGCCTACCCATTAAATCAGAAAAGTTGGATGAAATTTCTATTGAATATACGTAAGAAGGAAAATCAGATTATCTTAACTTTTCGTTTTAGAGGTGCAGTTAACTCGATTTTCTCCGCCAGTGGAATGATAAATGAACATTTTCATAATGTGCGACTATGTAATATTAGACACCATGGATAGCAAGCCTTTTGTGCACAATATGTATTGTGAAACTAACCGATTTATTTTACAGGAAGGATTTGAGAGTAGGGTAGTTTTAAATCACATTTACATTTTACAAAACAAGCTGTCAAATTAATTTTCTGCTTAAAAAGTTCAATTAATTTATTTAAATAACAAATAATTTCTCTAAGCATCATTAGGTATTTTATCTATATATCAAATTAAAGTTTCAATGAAAATTACTGAACATACTGGTCTGGGTATGGTTTAGCAGTATCCAATCCAATTTAAATCCAGCGAAAACAGAATTGATGTTTTTTTACTGAGAGATATGAACATGATATGGTCTAAATCTGTTTGATTTCTAGTTACTTAATTGATTTAAGTAAAAGTAGTAAAGATTGCTGGTATATGCAAAATAAAAAAATATTTATATTTACGTATTGCAGTGTTTCTTACATGTGAAAAAACATCAAAGTTACATAGATATCTACAGTCACAACGCTGGTTATAGAGAAGACATATACTCAGTCTTTCATCGAATAAATAAAATCAAAGCGCAGGTTTCATACCATGATCCAAAATTGTTTAATAAGTTCGAAATTTTTAAAAATCTTTTTGTGGCCAATATTAGGACAATTATTTTTCAAACCTCTTTTAAACTGCTCTTTAATTTTCCTGCTTTTGCTCGTGCCTTTTTCTTTCACGTATTATCTAAATCGTGGGGTAATATGAATAAAACATCTATTTCTCTATCCATGATTGGATGTTGAGAGGAAAATTAGCAGATACGTGATAATATTAATTGAATCTGGCATTTCTCCTGAAAATGTTAATGTTTTCATTGTTGCACAGGGATTATTGTTTCTGTTCCAGGTATATATGTGGTGGAGCAATTTTGTTCTGTCAATGGGAGTACGATTCCGGCTGGACATTTCTTGACGCCTCGTACTTTTGCTTCATTTCCCTAAGCACTATTGGATTCGGAGATTTTGTGCCTGGTGATAAAATCTACGGGCAAGGCAAAATTGAAGAAATCCTGGAGCTCAAATTTGTGTTCTGTTCCATGTACTTGATGCTTGGCATGGCTTTGATTGCTATGTGTTTCAATTTAATGCAGGTAAGAGTAAATTACATGCAAAATTGGTAACTGTTGCAAATTTACTTTAACTTTTAGAATTTTGTCTAAATTGGTATAAGAGTTAAATGTGTTTGAAAATGAGAACATGCTGAAGATTAGAGCGACCACGCAGTAGGTAACGTTCCGCAACAAGCGCGAAAAACTACTTAATTTGGCACTCGGACTAAGAGTTATCCACAGTTTGCATGAGAAAAATGTGTTGTTTTGAAAGCAGACTTCTTTCCTCTATTTTATTTAAATGTCTAAGACTGATTTTAAAAATTGTGCTATTTGTATTTTCAAAATTATTGTTTAAGAACTTCAGAATGATTTCAGATCGCTAAATATTTATTTATGTATTCTCTTTGCTTTGCCATAGACAAATATTGGTCAAAACGGAATTAATAGAATATTTTTATATGTCATCAGAGCTAATTTACTTTAATTTACTGCCGCGCGGAATAGTTGCTTGCAATTGCAGCCAATCAAGCCCTCAGGTTTTTGAACCATGAGGTGCGTCTCCTTCTAACATTTCTTCTTTATAATGTTCTGTAGTTAGATGTAGATATAAATACATCTCACCAAATGTCCAAGATACTGAAGAATCTTACTGTCTTTCCGCATTCCTGTCAGGAGCTCGTTGTTCGTGATGCTAATCATTCTAAGCAATTTGCCACATTCTGTGGTAGCACCACAGCTCAAATCCCTGCAGTTGGTATTTGTAAATTTTCTTGAGGGTGCATGATTCGATTTCATACAAAAATTTTGAAAACACATAACAACGCAGTATTCCCATTTTAAGTTTCATCTCTAGACAGACAATACTCGTGAGTATTGTCTTCTTTTTTAGGAATGTTGATGTGGCCATATCAATCCTCGACTCCGTCCTTTAAATTCGAATTCGAATTCGAAAATTATTCCTCATATGAATAAATGTTACCTTACATTACTGGAACAATAAAATCTGATGCGAACCTAAATTGCACTTATATTTGAATAACTTGCTAGACCAATGCTTATCAATAGAACTTTGGAGGAACTAAGAATGCTGCAACTGACATTCTTATATCCGTTCAAATAAACTGTACAAGAGCAACAGTAACAAAATTCTGCGTGTTTACTATTTTGCGTAAACTTTCCTTTAAACAAAAGAAATTTTAGTTGATTTCGGAGTAATCTTTACTGGCTTAGAGTTTAGAAAACCTCAATTACTTACCTGTGTGTAAATAAATGTTTTAACCTCTCAATTAGCTGAAAGTTCATTGAACCTATTTATAGATTCAGACAATTTTTTGTAATAAATTTTGGTACAATTTTCCGTTGCACTCCAGGAATGGAAAGTTACATTACATTATATTAAAGTTACAATTGTGATACAAGGAGTAAATTTCACATGACTTAATACCCGACAAAGAAATGGTATACAAAAAGTTGGAGAAAAACCTAAAAAGGCAACAAATTGCTCACCAGAATAAATATATTCACGAAAATGTTTGAAATTTTTAATTCAATACGGCTTATTTATTTTATTCAAGAGTATTGAATTGTTTTTCGCCTTAAGGAAATAGCACATCTTTTCAGGAAAATTTGGGGTTTTGTTGCCACAAAAATAACTATCGTACAAATAAAGGATTAAAATATTTTGGAAAAAGGTCGAAGATGATCTGGGACATACATCAAAATATTATCAAGACCATGACATTGACTGTAATTTTTTTTATAATATATAAATATATATAAATAATCTTTATTTCCTACAGAAAAAGGTTATCGACCCAATAGGTATTTCTGCCCAGCAAAATTATATATATATATTAACAGAAAATTAATTGTCAATTTACAATTCATATAATCTAAAAATTATTTTTAGAGTACCTAGATACCTTGTACATTTAATAATAAATTAAGTTTCTCTGGAAAATTTATTTAATTCATGTATTAGACATTCACAGTTGTATTATATATGTATATACATATCACGTGAAATTACTTTAGCTTTCACCTCCTTTTTTGACAAACGACATAAACCCGTCTGTGACGGGACTAAACCATTTGAATAAAGATATTAAGTTGAGCAATTTACGGAATTTTACTTATTGCGGGGGCTTCTCATTTAACTGCTCATTTTCTGCTCGGTATCAAGATTAAATCAGACGCCGGCTTCAGCATCTAAATTGGCGCCTACTTAATAACTCGCAAAATTACAATTATTGTGCCATTTTTGCGATTTCCAATTTAAGTGCTCGCGCAAAGAAGCCTTCAGATCATATTAAATTTTTTCCGCTTGACACAATGATGGCGAATTTTCTAAAATGGAACAACAAAACTTTTCCCAAATTAGATAACAAATCACCCCCGTCGAGTCCTTCATCTTTCTGAAAAGCGTTATATTTCTCAGTTTTTTTTATTAATAAACTGTTTTTTTATCGTATTTCAATATCTATTAGGTTGCCTTAACATTAAAATATGTATTAATTTATTTTTATTTCAGCTGTGTATTTCTCGGTTCAATTAGGTTTAATTTTTAAAATATGTTGACCGCTTGAAATAATTGGTTTTCAGTTTTATATGATTGTTTTAAACAAATACTAGTTTTTAGCTCTGAGATTCTTAGATTTCAGTATGTTTTCCAATTGGAAGATCATTAAAAACTGATAATTCCTAATGCATGCAAATGGATTCTTTTGACATCCTGCAAATGCAAATATGCAGTCGGTGTCGGGAACACGTCTCCTCGAACGTTCCGAATAGTTCTCATTGCTCCTAGCGGAGAAACATGTGGCTACGTAATACGAAATGCATAGAATCCGAACACGTCAGCCAAATTAGGTTTAGTGCCAACTGTTCTACAAGATATCCATCAATTTGGAGTACCTATAAAGAAAGTTCATTTCAAAACAGAGTAGTCTCCAAATAAATCCTCTGACACGAGATAATCTACGTAATAAAATCAGAAAGTTACCAAATATACAATGTTTGCTTAAAGTAGTTTCCTGAATTTTTTTTTGTTGCAGGAGGAAGTAATTAATAAAATTCGAACCACCATCAGAACAATAAAGTATATCTTTCGATGTAGATGAAAACAGCAGTGAAAATTACATTATTCAACCTGCATAAAAAGTATAGGTGCGAAGCAGAAATATTGCCATTGCCGAAGGACAAATATGGAAATAGGAAACTCAACACAAAGGATAAGAGAAGACTGAAAACCACTTTATGTTTCACTGCCTACGTTGTTTACCTACACACAGTAAAATGGTAGGTATCATTTTATAAACTTTGCTATTGCGTCGGTCCAGTTAATCTCAGAATTTTTCCCCAYCATAGTTTTTTTAAGAGTCATTTGTTTAACATACATRATACATTTTTATATTTTTTATGAAGTTATGGTGCTATTGAGACTGGAGCTCTAAGTAGCATTTTGGCTTTATTGTGTTCATTCTAAAGCTTATTCGGTCATTTATAAAATTAACATTAATTTGTTGAACAGGGTTATTCAGAAGGATATATTTTATGTGCCTGGATGTCATTTGAGGCAAATTTAATACACTTTACTGAATTAACTGTTCATTTGCTGTCTGATTTTTTATTGGTTTTGAAGTAACAATTAATCAGAGCGATTCTTCTTTGATCATGATATGAATTCCAAAGGCACGTGACAGGAAACACGAGGCAGACGCGTAGTTGTTTATTATTTTATAACAAATAGAGTTTTTACATTACGTGGATGATATTGGATGTAGAATACTCAATGTATGCAATGTGGCCTCGCTCAGACTAGCCTTACTTACAAGGCCTTAATCAGACAGTGAAACCCCATAAAATTTATCCATTTAATATAAGGTTGTCATCACATTGCGCACCCAATCCTAAACAGACAAGTCTTCTTCAGTTTTTCTGGTCCATTGTGTGATCTACGAGTAAAAATATAAAAGCGTATTAATGCACTTCTAGGAATAGGCCTTACACCAAGAGTTATTGTAATTGAAGCTTTGAAATTGATGTAAATGAAACTTAACCAATTAAAATAATTTGCGAACGTTAATCTGTGAAGTAAAATCCTGACTGATTCATTAAAATCGATTGCCAATTAGTTCACAGCTTGAATTAAAATAACTGTTGGTGTGAGGGTTCTAAGTCGTGCATTAATAAGATTTTATGTTTTTACTTAAAGACCATACGATGTACGAATAAAACTCAAGAACATATTTTTGTTGGTAACTGAATGGATAATGAAAAGATGGAAAACGTTTTTTGATAAATTAGTTGCGCAGCATTTTTTTTACAAAAATATTAAATGCCATGTCAGAACGCGAGTTAATAGACCAAAATGTTTCATCTTATATATTCTTAGGCATTCTCATTTGCAAAATTTCACTAAATGCAAATATCTAAAGCTGTTTCAAATATGCTAGTAAATTCTAATGTGTTTTAATCAAACCCTAACACCCTGTTTTTACGTAACTATGCCTTTAAGGAATCTAATTTATTAAAATATTTCATGCTAAAATAATACCAACAATCACCTCCTTTAGTTTCTCATACTACTTTTGAATCACCATGTGTACGTTTTCTAGATTATCGTTACCACATGTTGCCCGAAGTGGGGGTATACGTTATCTTTTGCATCATCGATGTTTATAGGCATTTTTMGAAAATCRAATCGATTAAAAGTTTTATAGACRAAAATGTAGGAAGTGCTATTTTATTATTTTGCAGGAAAAAAAACTTAATAATGATGGCCAAGAAATAAAAGGTTCTGAAAAACCTTAAATCAATASTACAGTATTAAACAGTTTTGTGGAAAAAAAACTCTAGTTTCCTTCCATGAARTAATAACGGGTGRATTMTCATGATCTTATGCAATTAAACGATAATAAAGCCTAACCATGATCACATGCTTTTTATCCGCCAAATTAATCAMAATCTAAATACATCTGTATTTCACCAATAAAGCGTTTGTCGAATGTAGTTGGCAAATAAAATTTYATAATTTATGTATATTGAACACGTCCGTCCATGTTCTGCTATCAAARGATAACAATTTTTACAGGTTTTTTACAAACATGAAAAGATCTTACATAAATACGTCATTATCTGTYTCCTGAACTGAATAGCATAATTCGAATTTGGAAGTGGTAGACAAGGCTGCAGTGATATGTTTATTCGGACTTCCATGGCAAACACCGGAATTCCAAATTCCGAAACAATTTGAATAATTCACGTTAACTCTATTTAGATCTGAGTTTCAGCATTTATATTACGTCTATGAGTTGGGGTAACTTCGAATTTGAATGATTAACAAAGCAGTCATATAGTTTCGTTTTTGTTGAAACCAGTCAATATGAGAAGAGCTCCGACTATAGTAAATGTATTTAATGCAATCTAAAAAACTTCGGAATTTTAATTCGCATGCTTTAATTAACGACGTAAAATTTTCTTGACGGTAAGACAATGCATTAAGCTAAGTGCAAATCTGCATTTTCTAGTTATCTAGGAACCAGTGTATACATAATGTTGACACTTAACTGGCTAAAAAATGTTAGTCTCAAAAATTATTAGTCGGTAACATTATACTTAACTGACCCCAAGTGCCTGGAAAAGTATTAGCGAAAAATCATGTTAATAATAATTTTTAGAATTAATAACGAAAATAAGACATTTCAATAATAATAATAATAAGCCATAATAAGCAAAACTGCAGCGCAAAATCCACTAATTTCGTAATATAACTTGGAAGGAAAGGCGAATTGGCGGAAGAAAATCTGCTTCAAAACTCGTTTTTTTAAATATCAGAACGATTTTATAGTTCTACAAACCTTATTAACTTTTAAAATACTTCGCAACCAGCTTAAACGTCTCTGAATTCCTGCAGCACTTTTTCAGTTTTATTCAAATGTTCGCTGTCATGCACTTAATTTCGTTCTATGGAACTAGATATTCAGTTAAATCATGAAACATAAAAATCAATTTAACTTATTCTATTACTAAGCTGCAGGCGCGTGAAATCTGCAAAGTGGAAGAAAATAAGTTGAAGAAAGTCCATTAGAAATTTTCAGCCGCAGGAAATTTTTAGTTCTGGGATAGTATTAAATTTTGTCGCTTAAGTTTATCTTTGCGTTATGGCAGCAAATTTTGCTTAGTATGGAAAATAGTTTTTGATTACTTTGGCATGTTCCTGAAACTATAAAATATAAAATATTAATACTTAATAATTTGCGACTGCTGTGCAGGAGGTTTTTGCAAAATTTGAACGCATTAGCGCCAAAATTTCTACCGAGGAAGAAATGGATGCTGGATTATGATAATGCATTAATTTTTTAATTCTACTGCTGCTCCAATAATCTTAGAACAGTTAATGATCTAATTGCGTAATGTAACACACGCTACATTTCGCAGTTTAATTAAATCTTACATTTTTATTCAAGATTTAATTTTATTGAAAAGTAAAATTTTTTGAATGTGGAATTTAAATAACTCCTAAAAATGGGCGATCTTAAGATTCAAATTCGAGTATTATTCCTACTGTATTATGTTATACAGTAATAATTCTTAGATTAATATACAAATAATAATTATTGACATATTATTTATGGATACAGCCACTCGCCACTGGCTGTAGCTCAAATGACACTCGTGCTCTATTGCAGCAAAAAATACATTCGGATAAATATCGAGAAAATTTAAGTTAATTTTCATCGCACTCGTTATGTAACTTCAATAATATCGATAAGAAATTTCGAATTTTTACGGAACTCTTAGTAATACTAACAGCACGCAATGGATATTTTTTTTGCTTCTTGGCTAGAAATATACGATGTTCCCTTTACATTAATCAAGTTACTATTTTTCAAAACGAACAATTTAGTGTAAATTTTGGGACATCTTGCATGTGACTTTTATTAATTTGCCATTAAAGCGCATTAGCCAGTAGTGGCAATCGATCATTTAGTTTCAAAAATCGAAATTAATGCTGCAAATTTACGTTTTAAGAAATGGTCCTTATTTTTACAAAACAATAAATATATCAGACACCGTAAGAGTAATGCGAGATAAACATTTGTAGAGCTATCAAACATTTTTACCGTATGGCAAAACAACTTTGGGTTAAATCTGGCTATTTAGACACCTTGTACATTATAACCTTAATATATCTACATAGTTAATAGTTACCATTATATTGTTCAGGTAGTTCAGAATTAAATTCTTCCAAAAAGTATTAGCAATACGTTCCTTAATTCTTATATTTATCTTTATTATGTATGTGTGTTTCTCAAGGAAAATGATGCATTTCCATGTTATTTTACAGGTTTCCATAAAACATCAGCAAACAATCTACTGCACGGATAGTTTAGTAATATTTTTTTAAATAAAGTGTAAATTTTTTTCTAGTGTATGTTTTACTTTCCTTCAATTTGCTGTGATTCCCAACCATGCAATAAAGTTAATAGGTGTACATTTCCATAAATGGTTTTGTCAAATTAGTTTTGAATTATTTCCTGCAAATCCAAAAATGTTTGCCAAATAATCAAAGGTGCGTATTACCTTTAAGCACCATTATTTCAATTATTTCCAATACTCCCTTTGTTTACGTTTCAAACCAGTTTTAACACTACAACAACGCCACTCTAGAATAAAATAAACAGGCCCAATTAGCTGGATTTCTTTGTTAAACGGCCGCCAGTGATGTCTATAATTTTTCTACCTATTTTATTTACGGTGGTAATTTTAATCGATTATATTGCGTTGTAAGCCGTTTGGTTGGCCATAAACACTAGTAAAATGTTCAGTGTCTAAATTTGTGGCAGTTGTTTTGGTAGGTCTGTTCGGAGAAGGCAATTGAGGATCAACTGATTCGCGGAAAGTCACCCGGGACTTATTTCAAGCTATTTTATTCTGAATTTGCTTGAAATGTTTATGAATAACAATTCCATTCACGGGCAAGACTATTTATTCGTTAAAACGTGGACATTCGAAAAACATTTGCAGCAAAATAGGCTAGTTTGTTAGTGCGTGTTGCGACTAGTTGTGTAAATTATGTGCCAGCTTAATTATTACTAATGAAATGCGTATAGATTTTGGACTTGGAAGGACTATGGATTAATAATAGGTAAGTTTTAGTCAACTTTTCTCAATTATATTTGATTTTAGTTTCTTGCTGCGTATACTTATTTTATATTTCCCGTCATAATGCAAAAGGAACCGAATTATCACAATACCTCACACCGAACATTAATTTCAAGCATTAATTTCGATAACGCACGGACGCTGAAAGATGTTATTATGAAATTATAAAAAATGAATCATTGCAAAATATGAATACTTTTATAAATAGACTAAAGTTGAAAATCATTTAAAAAGGGATTATTAGCTCCGATATTTACAATTTATTTCAAATAACATTGGAAAAGGCTTTTGTCATGGTTTCCTAATAAAGGGAATGAAAAGTAGTAGTTAAAACGATAAATCAAATTTATGAAACTATATTCTAAACTCAAAACACACTAATTTTTATAAAAATAGGAACAACATTAACAGAGTTATGTCATATGTTATTATACTTAATTCTCTATAACAGGGAGGTGTTTAAGCTCCTATTTAAATTTTCTATTTAACTTTTTAACTCTGTCTCTCATACCTACATTTGGTGATCTCAAAATATAATATTGTTGTTAAATGGTTGTTTGAATTGATTTAAAGTCAATAATACCTTCATATGTATTTTGTTGAGCTCTAGTCGTGCTTTATAATCATTTGGCACTTAATTTCAGTGTAAAAAAGAGAGAATTTACTTGAGTTAAGTAAATATACTCATTTGCTGCCCCCAAAACCGGACTACAGGTCAACCTCAATTCTCATTTTTCACACATAAATTGAATGAATAATAGTTGTAAAAAACAACTGAATATCCACAGAAAACATATGAAACCATTATCTTCTATAAAGCAGTAAAAATTCCCATGCTACGACAAGGTTATATACAGAAGTGAAAAAAATATCAGAAGTTACCGACCGCCAATTTGCAGTTTAACCGGTCAACTTCTTATTCATAGAGTGTAAGTTACTTACGACCAAATAACGAAAATGTCATTGCACTTATTGAAGTAACATTAGCCTTCAGTTAGTACTTCAGGACAATTTGTGTATTATAAAAATTTATTACTATATCGCAATTAGTAATATGGCTTGAACTTTAAAGATGAATAGCTCTGTTTACCCTTTGATATGTTACGGAAAGCTTCTCGAAATAGACTGTTTTTGTTTATTGACCTATTTTTGTCCAGTGACAACTTAAGCCTTTATAACATCGCTTTCGTTACCTGATAATTTAACAGCCATTTTCCATAAGCCATTAGCATCATTTGAAACTTCTTCAATGTGAGCTGCAACTTCCATCTAACATGTGGCTTTGGATTCAAAGTCGTTTTTTTAACGAAACCAATTTGCCATTAACATGTTCAATTACTATTCTACGCGTGTAAATGTCGCTCGGCGTTCCTTAAAATTCAATGTGGATGCAGCCGTTCCGTCAAATAAATGTATGGGGTATCGGGTATTAAAAAAATGCAGCGCACAGCGTTTTGTTTAATTTCCGTATTTTTCACATTGCCGAAGTGGTCGTGTCAAATATTCTGATTGATGGGCAGATTAGAGGAACGGTATTCGAGAAATGGATTGCAAATAAAGGGCGATCGTTCCAATATACCTACCCTTATAATGTTTAGCAAAATATTGAATCAAGGGTGGATAGCGTTGAAATTAGTTTTTTTGTTTGTTAGGGAGAAACAAAAATTCAATTCGGTCGCTAACGAGTTTTCGGTTTTCAATTTAAAGCGTTTGAAATATGTATCTACAAGAGGAGTATTGAGAAAATATGTCTCATTAGCAGCACATTTGTAGGATTAACTTTAAATGTATGTCCTTAATCATGAACTGCTGCTTTTTTAAACTGCTTTAGGCTGCTAAATTTCTACTGCTTTTTTAAACAAATAATATTTTTTCGATATACATTTAGATATACATATAGATGATCTTTCTACAACTAAGAGTGCTTTGATCGTTCTGTTTGCAAGAACTTGTACCTCAAACGTAGTTCAGATATATACCTATACGAGTAGGTAGATCAGAAAACATGGTTATCAACATGAAATTCGCGAACATCACAAAAAAGAAAAAAATCGCGATTTGATCCTGAATTTTTGTTGTTTGCCCAGTGCCAAAAACATATACGAGACTCAAGTCTCTAATTACTGAGGAATAACATTTTCACTAGAAATTATATGTTTAGGTTGTAAATTATGATTTCCAACAGTAACTGAATACACCTCAATATAATCAAGTGTCCCTATTTAGAACATGGTGCGCATTCTTATTCTTAGAGTGCCTGTCCGTTACGAATATTGGCTATCATGTTGGAAAATCGAACTTTGTTAACAGCGTCGGGGAATAGCTGAGTGATTGATTGCTTGAACCACGTTCCTAAACTTTTCAACCCCGATATTCTTCTGCCCACTCCTCTAGCTCCATATACCTTGCCTTGGACGATCTTCTGCAAAAGAACATATCTGCTCTCATTGCGCAATATAGGTCCCAGATATTGTAACTTTTGAGTCTTAACTGTATTCAGGAATTATTTTTTTCCTTTTCCATCCTTCTCAGCACCTCGGTACTAGTTATTCTCTGTGTCCACGGTATTTGTTGGATCATCCGGTACAACCACATTTTAAATGCCTCGAGTTTTTATCTGTTCCGGAACCCGAGCTGAGCCCATATTTCGTATTAACACTTTGTTAAGTACTGAACCGGAAGCGAAATATTTTATTTCGGATTTTTTCTTTATGAAATATTGACCATTATGCTTTAATTTGTATTTAAAATAACACGACCACATCATTAGAAAAACCAACAGTTTGTAAATAAAAACATATTTGAAGTGTTAGTTCGACGTTTTAAAAGCCTCCCTGCAATTGGCTTCAAAAGAGTTTCTAATAACTTCTTTTCTTTGCTGATACCAATACTTGGTATCGAAATAAAGTACTCGTATCGAATCGAAGTATCGCATCGTCGTAAATAGTCAAATTACCAAAACTGTAAACCTACTTTCACAGTCAAGACTGTTGTCAATCGTCAGTTCAGTTAGAACTGAAAATAGTGAAAATTGATAAACATCATTAAACGTGAGTTATGTCACCCTTACTGACCCAGCCTGACTTTTATACCATATATACATTGGTACTATATTACGACTAGATCAATTAGATCAATATGCGTTATGACACCTTTACGTGAAGTGTCTCCTCTTAGATAGGGATTATTCGATACAAGTAAATACAAGTAGGACTTGTATTTATGGATATATATATTATGGGTATATATGGATAAAGTACTCGTATCGAGTCGAATTATCAAAAGTGTAAACACCCAAACTTCATAAATATATGTTCTGTGCCCAAAGCCACAGAACATATATTTATGAAGATATAGGATATTTTGGGAAGTCTATTGAAGAACTTGAGTTGGATATCTCACAGCCATCAACATCTAGCGGTTCTAAATTAGAAAACATGTTGGAATTAAAAAGTTTTTTGATGCTAGTACGGATAGTAACATACCTCCACAAAGGACTTTAGAAGACGCATTTTTACAAGTTTCGGCCAATAAGGAAAATAAATTATTTCTAGTACTTTTTCTTTATTAAATATAATAGATATATCTATTTTGGAGAGAGGTTCAAAGTACAACAAAATAGTGCAGGCTTTAGCGTTTTTTGTTTGAAATTATTGCCTTCCTATATTGTGGAAGGAGAAGGATTTTTACGCCTTCTGAACGTGCTTCAACCTAATTTTAAGGTACCTACTTAGTGCAGCTTATTTAAAAAAGATGACCCACAAAAATATGAAGCTTGTGTAGCTATAGCTAAAGCCAAATTTTGTCAAAGATTAACAATATTTGTCTCAGATTGGACATTTGGACTGAAACAATGAACGAGCGAGGTTTCTTAGGAGTGACATGTCAGTTTCTTCAAAATAGTAAAATCCATATGCCCTATCTAGCTATTCGTACGCTCAATGAAATATTTGCCCTGTTTGGCTCACACAATAATCACATCGTTGAAGATGCTTTAAAATGACCAAATGTGAAAACAGCTAAATCTAAGGTTCGTGAAATTGTGCGTTGAATAAAAAATATACGATACGATAATGGTTCTGAATAGTCAGTTTCAAAACTTATTGCCGATATCAAAACAATATGGAACTGAATAATATTTTTGAAAAGTGACCCATTGGGAGACATGCAAACGGTATTTCCTAACTTTTATAAGTGAATATCTATTTCCTAAAGCTGGTGCTGCTATGACGCCCAATAGAAAAAGCTTGTCCCTTAAATATTTGCAGCAACTGATTTTTTGGGAAACCTTCAGAAAGAATATTTTTTGTTTACCTGATGGCAATAAATGCATTAAAATATATTCCATAAATTTTATTACAATCTCTTATTTAAACGGCCTTTTTACAGTTAAAATTCACGGTAACAGTTAATTTCGGTCTTGAAAAACTTATCGAAAATGTATACTTAAAATGTGTTTATGACGATTATACGTAGAGTCACTCAATATCGAGTCAGTCAATAAAATTGTGAGCAGGAAATCGTTTCGATACTTTCAGAATACTGATATGAGCAGTATTGCAAGGCGATTTGGTTACTACTCATTTGAGTAAGTATCGATACTTTCAGAATACTCATGTGTAGTATCGCAAGATGATTGGGTTACTACTTGTTCGGATGTTTGCACACATCTCTTCAATATAGTGGACTGTATTTATATTTCTTGATGAAGAAATCAAGAAATAGGCGCTAACTTAATTTATTGTAAGAATACTAAACACGTGGTAACATTAGCTGATCTGATGGATGTCGGTGCAGCGATAATCGAATAATGAATAATGCGCTGACGTTTCACAATGCGCTTTACATGAAGTGCATTGACAGAAATCTGCGTGAAAGGTGGTGCCAACATTCTGGCAGTTCTTACAATAATATGATTTAAAAATTCCCTGTTCTCAACTAAACACTACTCATTTGAGTAAGTTTCGATACTTTCTCAGTATC